TGAGAAGGGATGAATAGGTGGACCACAGCATTTCTAGGGCAGTGAAACTATTATTTTTCTCATTATGAATATACAAGGGTACTTCAAAAAGGTTATGGAAAGATTTGTATTATTTTTAATTCTGTTTCGTAATAACTTCGTATAGCATACATTATTGCGGGCGGGCGAGAGCTCCAGCCGGGTAAGATTCGCGGGGCTGCCGCGCCCTCTGGCGGCCTCCCGGAGCGCGTCCTGCTTTCCGCCAGTCCCGGGTGGTCGGAGCCGCCGCCGCCGCGGAGCGCAGCGCGGGGACCCAGGGGGCCCAGAGTTTAGGGCTGGCCCGGGTCACCCTTTCCTCCCCGTGAGGCCCCCAGTAGACGACTCGCAGGCACTGTGAGGGCCTGGGAGGCGCTGGGTGGGCGACAGGAGGCTCAGGCCCCCGGTGTGGGATGGAGAGCAGGCATCATTCCAGCGCAGCCTGGGGGAAGCGGAGCAAGGGGGAGGATTAGGGTCCCGCGCGTTCTTGGGGGTCGGACGCCGGCTTCGGTGTTCCCGCCGCTCACAGGTGTCCCTGCCGCGCCGGCGGCCTGTTGCTGTTTGTCTGTCTTACGACCCTGCGTTATTGTGCAACAGGAACAGTCGTTTCCAGTCAGCCCGCGGTTCCCGGGCAGCGTGGCCGTCGCGGCCCCCGCAGGGCGGGTTTATGAGGGGTGACAATGGCGTGCGAAGATTGGACAGCGCGGCCCGGAACGGCGTCGCGGCCCCCCACTCCCCCCGGCGCGGCCCAGGTGGTCTCCCTCCTCTGAGGGGGGGCGGGAACGCCGAGGGGACGAGAGCCTGGGCTCCACGAAACCCGAGGGCGAGTCCTGCTGAGCCCCCGCGGCCCCGCTACCCAGGCGCACCCCTCCAGCGACCGTGAGGGTGCTGAGGATGTCTGGCCCCGTCGCTTTCTCCGGGGACCCCAAGGAGATGCAGGCATTTTCGGCAGCAGTTTTCCTTTTCCTGCTACCTACTCCGCGGGCTTTCAACTGACGTCACCACAAAACCTAAAAGCAGAACCTAAGAAAGGAAGAGATTGGAAGTTAAGATTTGGGACATTTTAGCTCCGAATTCCTTGCGGTGGAGTCTGTGTCTCCGCGAACCCCAGGACGCACGTCCTTGGACCAACACCGCCATCTGCTGGCCACTCCTGAGAACTGCCGTGCCCCTCTATGGGAACGGGGATTCCAAGCCAGTAGAGGCATCAGAAAGATGAGGTTTTCGCCACGGTTTTCTTTTCCTGTGAAGCTGCAAGAATCATTGGACAGACAGCATTTGCTTTGTGATCCTTTGTGTAGTTCTCCGCCTTAGTTTTGTTTTGTTTTGTTTGGCGGCTGGCCCGTAGGAGGATCCAAACCCTTCACCTTGGTGTTAAAACACTGAGCTCTGCCCAACTGAGCTAACGCCAGCCGTTAAGTTGTTAATCCTTTGCACTTACATCTGATTACCAGAGCATGCGTGTGAGGAAGGTAGGCGGTATTTGCGTTCCCTTTTATGCTTGAGGAAACCTAGTGTCTTAAAACACTGAGCTCTGCCCAACTGAGCTAACGCCAGCCGTTAAGTTGTTAATCCTTTGCATTTACATCTGATTACCAGAGCATGCGTGTGAGGAAGGTAGGCGGTATTTGCGTTCCCTTTTATGCTTGAGGAAACCTAGTGTTGGGGGCTTGGCGACCTCAAGCTCAATGCTCAAGTATACTACAAGCTGCTGCTCGTAAGGCTGTCCCGTTAGGAGTCACACCAGTTGGGTGACAATCAAAAGGAAGTGTCATTTTAGTCCCCCGTGGTTAAATATCTGGTGCAGGGAAAGCAGAACAGTTTATGAGCTCAGATTGTCCCGTAAAATGCTCCAGCGCAAAAATACTCCAGCCCCCACCCATCCCTGGAATGTCTGATGGAGCTGAGGGAGATCCAAACAACGAAACAGGCTGGGAGGAGGGGGCGGGGGGAGAGATCCTGGTAAATACACCCTCTCTGGAAAACAGGCAGAAGTTACCACCAATGGAAACCTGCACTTGGCTTGCCTGGGCTGAAGTTAGGAGACTGGGTAGAACATTTGTTGCAGAGAAAAAACAAGATATGTAATTTTCACAGTTAGAATTAACTTAGGAGAACTGAAATTAACTGGACCTCGGCAATCTGAGTCTTGAAGTCATCAGTGGCTTTTGGGGCTGTGAGAGAGTCTCCCGTGGCCTTTAATCATGCCAGGGTGGGGTGAAATTCAGTATTCAGTGGCTCTGCAGTGGGAAGCATTGTGCAGTTAGTGATCTCTGGCTTTATGAGAAGAATGCTGTACTCTTTCTGGAAACAGGGTCCTTGCTTGCTTTCTGTTTACTCTCTAGCTTAGCATGTTGCCTTTGGTTGTAGAGAAACACTCAATGGCTCTTCACTTCGGTTTGCAGGGAATGAGATGGCACCCTGTTAAAGAGAAAGGACAGTAGCTGCAAACAGATTTGTGTCTGTTTATGTGACTGTACATATTGGTTCATCTTAAAATAGTCTTTATAGCTACACGATGCTGGAGGTAACAGGAATGTAGGAGCGGACTGCCAGCCTAGAGTGAGTCAGGGTTCAGATCCACTTCTTCAGTAGGCAGGACGCACGAGGAAAGTTGTGTGGCCTTTATTTCCTTAGCAAGGAGCAGTTGAAGGAGCCTCCTTTGACGCCCCTCTCATCTAATACATCTTAGGAGTCTGCAGCAAAAGAGCCCAGATGAAAACCCAGGCACTTACTGTGTAAGGTAGTCCTTACAGTAATAATGAAGTAGGGCAAGCAAGCTAGTTGGGGATTATTAATCCTGGTTTATAGAAGAAGAGACCAAGGTTAGGAAAGATGGACAAGGTGTCAGATTTGGGATCAGGACCCAGTCCAGTGACATTTCCATTTTGTCTCCCAAAAGAAAGAATGAAAGAAGGATGGGGGAAAACCACAAGTTACCTGCCCGAGAGTGAGCAAGACAGAGGTCTCTTTTCCCAGTTTGTTTCGATAACTGTGGCAAATGCTTTTTGAGTTGTGATTATAGAGTATTGAGGCTGAAGTCAATATATAGTTGGCATGAGAGAAATAATTATGATTTGGAAAAAAAATATGTGGATGAAATCTACTGTTCCACCCTGCAAAGTGCTTTGTTCTGACTGACTCTTACACTGCCATGTTCTTCAGAATTTGTAACCTCCATTATGTTTATACTTATATTTGCACATCTGACTTTTGGACGAACTCCAGGGTAGGAGTTACTAATTAAGGGTGAGCGTGTACTCCCGGAGTAGAAGAGCACTGGCAACAGCAGGACTCGCTCCCAGAGATTCTCACTCCAGGGCTATAGGCCAGGGAAGCCTCCTTCTCCCCTGTGGTTCTCCATTACCTCCCCGTGGGGCAAACACTGCAATTATTCTCGAGTAAATTGTCTGAGTTACAGAGGAGTAATGACGTGAAACTTCACAAATACTCCTGGATTTCTAGCCAGGGAAGCATTGTTATCAGAGAAGGGAGTTTAAAATCTTAAGCAAACACATGTTGATTTTCAGTATTCGCATGATTATCGCTTGCTCAGAGGCCCTGTTTTCATTGCCCACTTTGTATGTCAGTAAATAATCCTCCCTGGCAGTGGATCCACAGTATCTGGATGCACAGAAGGAAATCTGGTGAGGCCCGGCGGGGGCAAAACGCTCCTCAGAGCCTGCATTGGAAAAGCAGCAAGCCCCTCTCTTAAGCTCGGGAATGCTTTAAAGATGCATCATTGGCAAGCCTTGATAAAGAAATACAGGATACAAATGTGATAGTACCCAAGACATCAAGCGGGCTCTGGAGGCCTCCTTTGATGTTGGCTAAGTGGATTATCAGTGGGAGGTTGATATTTATATGGACAAACACACAGGCTGTTACCGCTAATTGTGGTAAATCAAGCTGGCCAGCCTGGCTCTGGGGCCCGCTGTGTTTGCCGCTGCAGCAGCGCGGAAGCCCTGCATCCCCGGGCACATGCCAAGAGCCTCAGAAGCCACCAGCCAGCCAGCATTGTGCGAATTGCTTTCGGGTTCACAACACTACAATTGTGCTTCTTCCATCGTGGTGAGCAGAGAAGGGAAGCAGGGCCCCAATTTGCATGAGGAAATAGTGGGGGTGGGGGTAGGGGTGGGGGGCTTCAGGGCTGGAACACTGACCTTTCCTTGAGAGAGACCATATGGTGGAGTGGTGAGAGCATAGCTTTTGTATCACGCAGACCTTGTATTAGAATACTGGCTCTGCCACCAGTCGTGTGACTTTGGGTCATTTAGTAAACCTCTCTGAGCCTCAACTGCCACTTCCTAAAATCAACTATGTCACAAGGTTGGTCTTAACAAACATGGCACACACACGAAAACTTTGGCTTCTTAAATAATGGTTTCTCATTCTCATTTTTGGTTTTCTATCCAACTCACCTCCTCCCTGTTACCAGCATCCTCCTTTTCACGCTGTCTTTCTTCCTCCTCCAATTTTCGGGTGGAATCCAATAAAGCAGAAATCTGATTTCTGTAAGTAAGCCACCTTAAAGCAAAAAATATGTGATCAGGCACCACCCAAAACTACATTTGGTCTATCATCGACTGGATTCTAAACAGGGCTAAAAATAGGCATACATTGACTCTCCCTCCACCCCCCATTTTTTAATTTTTAAAAGACAGTTCAGTCAGGCCAAGGCTGTGATGGTGATTTTTTTATGGGTTAAAGCTGTGTCACTGCCCAGGTCCCTCGGTGACCTCTTCGATGGAAACTTGGGTGCTCAGAGGCTGTAACACCTGTGAGCCCGTGTATGGTTCCTTTCCATTGACTTCAGTAAGACCACTTTATCAATGACTTCATGTGGGAAGTGAAAGGGGAGAGAAGATAAAGTGAGTGGGGGTGTATGTGAAAAGGAAAAGAGAAAGAAAAGGGGCTTTTCAGAGAGTTGGACAGAAATGACCCATCAGTGGTTTTACCCCAGGGCAACGTGGGCCCCTCTTTAATTTCTTGCTCTCCCTTTCTTTCTTTTTTGCCCACTTCTTGCTCTATTTGTGTATTACGGACATTCCATTTCCATCCACTTTTCCATCCTCTGGATTGTGTTGTAGGAAATCAGAGTTAAGTGCTTGGACTCTACAGGTGCTGTTGTTACCTTGACAGGAACACGAATGGTCAGTCTCCATCGAACGTTGTCCTGTTGTCTGCTGCATCCCCCCAACATGGGGATTTAGTCACACTTTTCTCTCCTATTTCCTTTCCCTTCCTCATGTTCTTTCTTTCCTGTTCCTCCTTTCATGCCTGTGCTCTGGGCTTTCCATGCCTTGGTTAGGCCAGCAGTGAGCCCAGTGGTTTCTATGAGGGCTCCTATGAGAGTTGGGTTGGGAGCCTGGTTCACAAAGGCCTCCTCTGAGTGGCACTGGTTAGTGGGAGTTTCAAAAACTCTAGACTGGAATGACACTTAAATACTAAGGACATGTGTTCCAGCCCAAGCAACTTTTCCAAAAGTGGTAGAGGATGTGACCTCTTTATGAATCAAAACACGAAGCAAGTAACAACCCATTTTGAATGAAAACAGTTCCAGTTTGGGAGGTGAGGTAATACATACATTTATTTCTTTGTTTTTCACATTCTTAATTTAAATGGTCCAAAAGGAACAGTTCTCCTGTACTCTTAGACACACTGCAAGACAACAAACCAGGACTTTCCACAATTTTAAAGCTGTGTTCGGTCACAAATGGTTTCAGCTGTAGATGGCTCCTGCCATGATTTGGGGGCCCCATCAGACTATTTGATTCTTTCTTCTTAGGCATTTTACCATTTTTACCGTGAATCTTAAATGGAGACATTTTTGACTAAAATGATGCTGTTAACATTTTCCTTTGTGCTAAACAAGGATTGTTTCTATTGGCTAATGCTGTTTCTTTTGACTTTTGACTTTTTCAGTTTTCCAGAGCTATGGGGACTTCTCTTCGTGCATTCCTGGTCTTAGGCTGTCTCCTCACAGGTATGGACCCTGGTCTTCTCTGAGTTTGTTGTCCTATGTGCCTTGTTTTCTAAATTCTCTGCTCCATGGGTGCATCATTATCTGTACTCTGCACACACAGTCCAAAAGAGTGAAGAGAAATCAAAAATAATAGGACATTGTCTGTAATGACCAGAAGCCTTCAGTTCCCTTTGTTGTATTTCACTAATTCCATTTCAAGAAGGATGCCCTCCAGTGGCAGTGTCAGTATGTGTATAATCCTGGCATTGGAATGGAGTTAGTAACAATAGTCCAAATCCACCCGCTACCCTCTTCCTTTGCCTAGGACATGGACTACCAGTAGAGCTGGATCAAATAAATTCAAGAGTGTTCAAAGGAAGTAATACAGAATTCTTGCCCAGGAAATCCTTTCTCTCCTAAATCATACCTGACTTAATGAAAGATGCTTATTTTGCTTGAAAAATCTCAGACCCACCTTACTCTTCTCTTGGAATCTGATTGGTAGATGACTATTTGGCTCTTGGAGAATCTTACGTCTTTCCCACCAAAAAGATGCCATTGGTGCCATTTGTTGAAATATTTTTAGACTTTCTTAGTTTTCATCCAGATATTTATGCATTGCAGATGTTCACAATGAAACCAGTGCTTTTCTAGTCTGAGGAGTTAACTTGGCCTATTGGTGTCTTCGGGTCATATCCATTTGGATATGGTGCAATTGAGCAAGACCAGAGATTTAGTAGTTCTAAACTCCACTAAGTGTACCCTGTCTACAGGAGGACAGGTGACCCAGATGCATTTACAACTCCTATCTTAACAAGCTGCAGGAATCATCATGGTCACAAGTTGAAGTTGTGGGGGGAGATTTCCATATCAGGCTCTGAAAGAGATTAGAGACCATTAGTTAATAATTAGTTAAGTCCTAATATCTCTTCTACCGGTTTTGTAGACAAGGGAGGCTAGACTGAAATTTGAGGTTCTAAGCTGAACTTAGAGTTTTCTCTCTTGGGCTTTACTTATTATCTGTGAATTAAAATCTGCGTCATCCTGCTTTGGCTTCTGGAAGTCATCAGAGAGAGACAGCATGCCAGAGGCTATAAGACATGGAAAGTGTGTGATCCTTGCGCACAGATGTGCTTTGGGCTTTGCTCACTCCATCTCCCTGCCCTCATTCTCATCTAGCTTTTAACTAAGGGAAACCTCTGCAGAGAATGTGCACAGTAAAGAACCTATAAGTACTTAAGCCTATGCCATCTTGGGGTATTTTATGGTCACACATCAGAGTCTGAAATATGGAATTGGAATCAGACATCCTCTATCCATTTGAGTGTTTGGAGGGGTGACTCTAGGGAGGCTTGGGGGGCTATTGAAGCCTTTGGAACATTTGCTGCTCTCAGCAGATGCAGCGGCTGTTATAATGGGGGGCCTTTCATGGGCATCCAGGCTAACGGCTTTTTGCATGGAAATGGTCATTTTTCAGAGAAGCCGCCACCGTTCTTCTCTCTGTTCTCTGGGTGAGACCGTCCATTCTGGCCGCATCCTATTCTGAGCATGTTTCCTTTTACAGGGCCAAGCCTCATCCTCTGCCAGCTTTCATTACCCTCTATCCTTCCAAACGAAAATGAAAAGGTTGTGCCACTGAATTCGTCCTTTTCTCTGAGATGCTTTGGGGAGAGTGAAGTGAGCTGGCAGTACCCAACGTCTGAGGAAGAGAACCCCAATGTGGAAATCAGAAATGAGGAAGACAACAGTGGCCTCGTCGTGACAGTGCTGGAAGTGGTCAGTGCCTCGGCGGCCCACACGGGATTGTACACTTGCTATTACAACCACACTCAGACGGAAGAAAATGAGATCGAAGGCAGGCGCATTTACATCTACGTTCCAGGTGTGCTGGATGGGTCCCCTGGACCAAGCTTGTTGATGTCCTGTTTTTCCTGTTGGCTGTATTAAGGTTTTCTAAAAATATAAAAATAATGAATATTTATTGGGGAAAATTTGAAAAATACAGGAGAACACACAAAATTAGTTAAAGTTCATTTGTAATGTCATTATCAAGAAATATGCATTGTTAGGGGCTGGCCAGTTAGCTCAGTTGGTTAGAGTGTGGTGTTGATAACACTAAGGTCAATGGTTTGGATCCCTGTACTGGCCAGCCATGAAATAAAAGAAAAAGAAATATCCATTGTTAACATTTTGGAGCTATATTAAATTTTGAAAATCACCTTTATTGTGACATATTCTTTATCAGTATTGCACAAAAAAATCTGAGCTATACTAATTTCAATTCAGCTCAGTCAACTTCAATAAATATGAAGGTACTTCGAAAAGCTCATGGAAAGATTTGTATTATCTTTTAATTCTGTTTTTCCATGAACTTTTTGAAGTACCCTTGTGAAGTTTGTCAGGCACTGTGCTAAGAGAGGACACTAAAATTAATAGGTAGGCCCTGTCTTGGAGTTACTTATAGTTCATCACAGCAGCTTCCAAATAACCCAATTTGAAATAACCCTCTTTTCCAGATTCAATACATACATTTACTCTTGATGAATGGGAAGGTTTTTTTTTTTTTTTCCTTGTTAATTAAAACTTAGGGGGAAATCCAATACTAACGCTGTTTTCCTGTGTCCTCTGAGATGCAGATTCCAAGACAGAAGTAAGATGGGATTAAGCAGGCAATGCTTTTATTAGGGGAAAGGCTAATGAGAGAAAATGGGGAGGGATCTGTAAGAGTCTAGGAGAGCCATCTGACTGTGTGGTAAATCTGACCCTGAAGGAAGCAGACGGGGAAGGAAGGTGGATGAACCCTAGAGGGTTGTGCTGGCCAAGGAAGGTCCAGAGTGCTCCAGCCTATGGAACCCAGTTCCGCTCAGTCATTGGCTGGCTGCATCCCTGGGGAGTGTGGCGTTAAGGTTGTGATGGATTTCAGGACCGGCCTTTGGACAGTTCTGTTCCCTGTAGTTGGAGGAATGGTTGGTGCTTTCTCACAGCAGCCATACCGACCCTCTGGGCTTAGCCATGAACTTGAGATGCATTTGATCTACCTCCCACCTAGCACTCACTGTGTACTCCTTTGTGATTCCGTATCTATGACTGTATTCTGTATATACTATCCTCTGTCAAAGACAATTGTTAAACTAAGGCCCCCAATGTTGTTAAAGATTGCATGGGTGCTACATGATAGTAGGGAAGACTAGCATTTTAAAGGGAGCCCCGGCTAATGTGTTAATGGATATCAATCCGTATATTTTAATCTGAAATTAACTTGCAGTTTTGTTTGCTGAAATCTTTGCTAACAGAGCTTAAGAATTTGGAACTCTAAACACAAATTTGAGTGATGGCAATTTCAGTATGTAGTTGGGCAAATGAAAGAGGACTACAACTAAAGTATTTGGTTTTAAAAAACCAAACATAAGGGCCGGTCCCGTGGCGCACTGCTACAGTGGCCGCTTGGGAGTGCGGCAGCGCTCCTGCCGAGGGTTCAGATCCCACATACAGACCGGTTCCCGCTCACTGGCTGAGCGAGGTGCGGGCGCAACACCGAGGGTTGCGATCCCGTTGCCGGTCCCGGTCCGGTACGGGTGCGACACTGAGGGTTGCGATCCGTTGCCGGACATGAAAAAAGACAAAAAAAAACCAAACATAAACCATTTACAATTCTTGCCATCCTGTTGTTTTGGCAGAGCTAAAGGGAAAGGGTTCTTTTTACAGAAGTATGGTGAAGTGTATCTGCCTACCTTTCTTCTTTTTCTTTTTCAGTTCTGTAATTGGCTCCTGTTCCTGCCCTCTATAACTATGGGTGTCCCCAGGGATCTAGACAGACTCTCTTTACTTCTTTCATGACACTGTTATCCATATGAACCTTCCTTCTTAACAATAAAAAAAAAATCTTATTTCAAAAAGGGTAGGTATTTAGAATGTCACCCCAACTTTATTCACTCATAAATGCTACACTTGGGTTTCCTGAGCAAAATCCTCTAGATCTGGAGGGATTTTCCCCTGCTGTGAAGGGAATGGTAGGAACGTGGGTTTGTTAAAGGTATGTGAGTCCTGAAGTTTTGCAAGGTTGTCCAAAATTTCTTCTTGCACCCTCCCTCCCCCCAAGCACAAATAACACCCAAGCAGCCCCTGTACCCTCAGTCTGACAGACATCTTTTATTGGTAGTAATGGAGAATAAGGGGTTCTTTCTGCAGCTGATGGCCTGAGACTCTTAATACTCCTTAAGGTAGTAACTAAAGTAGCTGGTTTTCTTTTGGAAAGGAAATTCTCAGGCTATGGAATTATACATTGTATTACCTGACAGATTAATTTTTAATAAACAAATTTCTGTGCCACTTTTTAATAATACTGACTATAGGTGACAGGAGTTCTTTAGAAAGCATTTTATAATTTAAAAACTATGAATATTTTCTCTTTTGAACAAAGTTGTGCTCTAATATTTTATTGCCCATTTTTGTTTTTAGTTGTTTACATTTTTTTTTTTTTTTTTGGTGGCTGGCCAGTACAGGGATCAAAAACCCTGGACCGTTATCAGCACCATGCGGTTGTTTAAGTTTTGATTTGGATTCCTGGCTAGTATTTACAGTTATCATCAGTATTTTTTTTATTAGGGTACAGGGTACAGGCAATTTGGTATTATTCACACTTTAACATCACCTTCTGGCTGTCATGGTGACTGTCATGGTGACATGGCGTGTAAAGGTAAAGTTCATACCTACTAAGAATAATGCCAATGGGACAATTTTCCTGGATATATGTGTAAAGGCGAAATTAATGCTTAATAGAGTTTTCTTTCCTTTTTAAACCGCAGACCCGGATGTAGCATTTGTACCTCTTGGAATGACAGATTACTTAGTCATCGTGGAGGAGGATGATTCTGCCATCATT